GCAGGGCTGTTAAAGTACATTATTGAAATTTCTTTTACCAAATAAACTGACAAACTAGTCTGTAACATCATAGCTGTTTTTCCTACAATATGTCTTCAGGTGTTGGGTACAGGCAATGGGGAGTTGAAGAAAGCCCGTGCTGATGAATCAAAAGCAGTGCCATCGTCAGAGGTGGATTCAGAGCAACGCGATGAGATGTTGGAACTGTACAAGCTTCAAATGCCAGAGGATCTGTACCACTTCTGGGACTTCTGCAAGGAACTTTGTCCTGAAAGCCCCAGAGGTATGCTCTTTACTCCTATGGTGTATCTTGTCACATGTATTCTGATGAGACAGAAGGTGTGGTCTGACATTTAATACATTTGTATGTGTGTTGACTGGACATATGTATCTGAATTTATCCATTGGGAAACATCAATCAAATCAATGGGTTGGATGCACAAATGCTCCACTAGTCTTCATGTAAAAACAAACAGTACCAGGCCAACTCTAGTGCCTTTGTAAGATGTTGCCTTTATATTTGCCAGTCTTGCATTAAGAAGCAGTTACGTTGTCTTTAATTGTTTTGGTAATAAGTGCGGCCCCTCCATGGAATATTTATAGACGATGTAACTGTTTAACATACCATACAACTAGCTAATAGTTAAAAATCAGTTGGTGTATACAAAGTAAAAACATTATAGGAACTATTCTTTATGACTTCCCAAATAGACATCTAAAAACTGCAGCTGTTGTGTGACCAATATCTCACAGTCAAAGTGTAATAAGGATAAGATAAAATAAGGATGGGTAATAGAAAACAGCAACATGCAGAAAGTTATGTGGGAATTCTTTCCCATATGATTGTAATTATCCTATGGCAATCGTTAACAACTCTTTTAAGAATGATGATAATAAACGTTTATATAAAATAAGATTATAAATATAAAAAAACAACCTTAAAAGCCTAATTTGCAGCAATTGCACTGGATATTCATTGAATTCTATACTTGTTTTTATTCATCTTTACCTGTAAAGGTGCGCTGAAAGACACGCTGGGTTTGCAGCTGGTTGGTCCCTTTGACATCCTGGCAGGAGCCCACACAAAATCCAAGAGTCCTCAGCCTAACTTCCACCTTCACTGGAGGTATTTGTACGACCCACCAGAGTTTCAGACCATCCTTTTGGGGAGTGAAGACAGAGAGCATCACATTGGCTACTACAGGTAAAAACATGTTTACATCTGAAGTCTTTGAATGAGTAGATCTGTGTACAACCTGTAAAATTCCTTTTATTATAGCTTTTAATGCTGTCGCTTCCACAATAGGGATCTTGATGAAACAGAAACAGTGATAACTAAAAGTGCAATCAGTTCTACTTTACTGAATTGTATTCCCGAAATTAATCAGAGATACCCCAGACTCCCTCCCCGCGTTTGTTGGAGAAAATGAAGCCAAGAAAGGCTGCACTATCACACAGATGGGGGACAATTTGTTTGCTGCTGTTCTGTAAGTACCAACCACCACATATTCACCATACAGAAAGTAGTGTTCAATTGTGTAGTACATTATCAAATTACAAAAATGTAAGCACACAGATCACGGATATATTCATTTACACATGGATTATATGTTGGTCACACAAGACTGTCAAACACTCAATACTGACTCGGATCAACGATCATAAAAGGTGATAGTGGCACCCTTACAATTAGGATGATATGCATAACTATTGAAAACGACTTTTCTTCAAACAGTCTTTTAACTACCATACATTTAATTGTACCCACTGTGTGCTCCCTCCTCCATCATTAGTCTGTTTCTGCTGAAGAGGAGGAAAGAAAGAGGCAGCAAGAAAGCAGATGGAGGGGCTTTGGAAAGCTTAGAGGCACAGCTGAGAGACCGGGCAGAAACTCTGGGCTTGTCTCTAGAGCAGAAGACTAAAGGCATGAAGCAGAGGGACAAGAAGGTAACTTGCTCAAGAGAGCAAATTGTAGTCTCCTAATTTTACCTCATATGTTGCTTTTTACCAAGGACTATCAGTTTTAGACCATGGCAGTGTATATATTCAATACTGTACAGTAAATCAAGGACACCTTATGACATGTTATACCCCCAGTGTTTGGCCTCTATATAAGGGACCTCCTTGGTACAGTCACAGTGGTTAAACTTATTACTGTTTCAGCCCCACCACATCACTTAATAAGTGTATTTTAAAAATGTTTAATAGGTTGCTGTCCAAAATAAGTCATATATTTGACCAAAGTCGTTCCAAGTCGCCACCAGCATGTCATTTCTTCACCTCTTATCCCACCATAGGTAGTCACCAAGACGTTCCACAGTGCCGGCATCGTTGTACCTGTAGACAAGAATGATGTAGGGTACAGAGAACTACCAGAAACAGATGGTGAGCTTATAAACTGTATACAAAGCAATTTACTTCTTTTTTTTTTTTTTAGACTTACAACAAGCATTTAAATCCTGGTATGGGAGTGATGACGTTTTATCTTTTTTTCTCCCTCTCCGCTATCCAGCTGGTTTAAAGAAAATCCTAAAGGCAATTGTTGAAGCCCGGAATGATGAAGAGCGCGTAAAAGCCTTTGGACCTCTCCAGGAAATGGTCACATTTGTTCAGTTTGCCAACGATGAGTGCGACTACGGCATGGGATATGAACTAGGATTGGACCTCTTCTGTTACGGATCCCATGTGAGTCTCATAAAGTTGAGCATTAAATCCCTTTTGACACACTCAGACATTTGACTTTTTTTCACCCACTGTCTTTGCTTCCGGACCATTCTCTTCAATATACCGAATACAAATTTAGACAAATTATATAGGGTTACTTTCATGTGTGCTCATTGCATGCTTTTTTTTTTTAATTAATCTATTCAGATTGTTATTTAGCATTTTCAATTATGAGCAGTGCTTCTTCAGCATCTTGTAACATTGTTTTTGGTGCATCTGAATTTGCAGAAGATAAATCATTCAGTATTGCCTAAATACTAGGTGTCAGCCTCCCTCAAATGGGTCACACATCTGTGTTGCAAGTTATGAGTGTTAGAAAAAACCATTTCTATTATTTTGGGGGGATTTTAAAGCCAAAGGGTTATAGGCCATGTAAAGGTCTGAATGTTGAAAAACCATGGAGATTAAAGTTAGAAATGCATTACTAATCTTTGGTTTCCTTATTCTGCCCAGTATTTCCACAAGGTTATCAGGCAGCTTCTGCCCATGGCCTACAGCCTCCTGAAGAGGAATTTGTTTGGGGACATTTTGGAGGCCCACCTCTCCAACCGCAACCAGGACACCCTGGATCAACTGTCCCCATGTTAAAAAAGACTCAGAAGTACACTCCAGCTCTAGCTTTTATAAGCTTTTCCCACCATGTGTCCTTGTCCGCTGTTCTTTGTTATTATTGTTAACGTTAATGGTGGTTTTGGTGCTGCTGTCATGGATTGGAACCAGTTCAATGATTTTCTTGTCCTTAAAAAGTAGATGTCTAATAAAGTATTTTTATATTATTTACCTGTCTGGTTTTGTATTCAAGGTGAATACTGCACCTTTCCTTTTTAAATTCAAGTTCCCTTATAAAACATGACTTTTGTTTCAAGTGTGATACCATGCAGTGGTAACAGAGGGCAGTATTGCATTTAATTTATCTGAAGTCAGTCAGAAATCATTTACACTTATTGGGAAGAACCTTTATTTTTTTTAAAGACAGCATGAAGTTTGTTGCCTGAGGTTCATGAGATGGCTTGGATTCAGTCTTTCCTTTGATCTACTTGTGAAATCACATTTACAAATGGATCTGTTATTTCTATGGACATGCTGTATGAAAAAGGAAAACTGCTATAGTAAACTTAGCAATCACTTAAAGGAAACATAACAGAACCTAAGGAGCACGGCTAGGGGCAATATATTACACACATATCAGGATGGATTGGTCAAATGTGTGCAAACGTATTGCTCATGGTGCCAACCATTATTAAAGTGCATTTATCTACTTATATCTGTAGCAAAAACAGCCTGAATATTACATGAGTCAGTCTTTGTATGGGTATTTTTTTTTTTTATGACAGTAAAGTTTATTCCTGTTACAATTAGCAGTCATCTAGGCAGGGCAGGGGAACACCCATCCAAACGTAGTCCTGTTTAATACAGGTTATCTTTCATACATGTGCTTTCTGAATACACACATACAAGCTGAAAAATGTATCTTCCAGTTAACATTTGCTAAAGTTCTGTTCAACCCTTATTCCCCTATGACATTTTTCACTCTGCCATTTAAAGAGAAGTAAATTAAATAGTATATGACTTGGAAGTGCGTAATTCTAATGTGAACCTCACAAATCAGTGACAGGTTTTTTTATGTTTAACATGAAATATGATGAAATACTTCCTTTCTCCACCTCGCCCTCCACTCCTGTCCTGTCTGCTTTTTAAATGTCTCCAAGACATTGTTATTGATTTTTCCCTGTCAACCTCCATGAAATGTGTAGCTCTGTGAGGACACACAGGCCAAGATGGGGGCGTAAGAATACTAAGAGGGAGCTTACATTATCTAAGCCCAACCCAATGTCCCCGGGGCTTCGGTGATCTCATATTTTAGCAAGCACTCTTACAGTTTTCATTCAATCATGGACCACACTGTGAACTTACTGCTGCAGAAGCACCGACGGGTGGGGGGACTCCAAAAGCAAAACAGAAGCGCACTGCTGCTGCTTCTCGGTGCATTCAAGTACCATTAGTAAGAAATTGACTAGCCATAAAATATTTTTGTTATATTTCAGTTTTTTATTACAGAGGTCAATGGGGCAGAGCTTATTTTTCTCTCTGGTAGTAAACTATGAGTAAATCTGTCGTGGTAGTGTATTCGCTGTTTGTAGTACAATAATATACAAACATAACACGTTGAAAGTAAAAACATAGGCGCACTTTTTCTCATTAGTAACATACTAAAAACCAAAAATAACATATTATGAATCACTGTATCTATTGCTCCTCCCCTATAGAGTGCTTGAGCAACTGGAGTGTCAGAAGACTGCAGCTTTTCTGATCGATCGTGCTAATAAAGGTGCGTTCGTTAAGTTTCCGACTGTCCCTGAAAGCATCATTGATCCTGCGGAGTTTCGGGGAAGCGCATCTGAGGCGCGTTCACATCTCCACACATACACACGCAGTCAGGTTACAGCAACACACCAGAAGCATCCCTGAGCGGAGGGAGCGCTCGTTTTCGTTTGAAAATCTGCAAGAAACACAGTATTATATTTTGTCACGTTTCATAACAGACTGTGTGTCACGCAGCAGAATGATTCCGGGCCCTGCCGAGCCTTGTGGACACTGAGGCCCGCACAGAGATCCACCTTGCACTGGCCAAAGGACCATCCAGCAGCAGCCATCCCAAGACAGAATGTCAAGCAGCCCTGAAGGAAGTCTCTCCAGGGGCGGCAGCTCCGACCGGGACGCGAAGATTGCTTCTTCGTGCAACACGTCTCCCGAGGGTGGACCTCCACCACCGCTGCAGCAGAACCGTATACGGCAGGTGGGTGTCTGTCCGCAGCCCGCGCTCTGCATTGACCGGCCCAGTCAGCCGTTAACCAGCAGCCCGAACCGCTGCTGATGCTGCGTGCTTGGGGAAGGCAGGCAAAAGGCGTTGCCGTGCTTCATGGGCACATCAGCTCGTGGTCTTAAAGGTTTCCTTAGATGTTTTAATTGTGTGAAATTGTGTTAATTAGCTATTACTAGGAGCATGTGTCTCACCAGAGAAAATGCCATCTGTTTTGATAAGAGACTTAGTCAGGAGAGTGTGATAATACCTAAATAAGCCAGTTATTATGGCCGTCAAAATAAACACCAACAGACTTGCACTGACTCCACTAGTCACTATTTCAGGCTGCAGTGAGCAATGTTTACTACTTCACTATACCACCCACTGGAGGATACTGTTTACATTGACCATATTATGCTCTACTGGTCAGAGGGTGAGCATCCCTATTTGTAAATGCTGTGAACTTGTTATTATTACCCTCTATGAGTGCTGGGCTATTTTCTTTAGTAGGTGTAATGTGTCAAACATTAGTAGTTAATAGACATACAATATAGCACATGTGCACACACAGTCAGATATTGTGTGTGTGTGTGTGTGTGTGTGTGTGTGTGTGTGTGTGTGTGTGTGTGTGCCACTGTCGGGTTGGGCTGGTGCCAGTAAGTCTTTCTGTCCTTGGGTGGAGTGAAATTATGATATTAATGAGCAGCTTCCTCATCCACTCCTCTCGTTTCTTCTCCTCTCCTCATCAAAACAACTTCATCAAATGTATTGCTAAAAAACATTTAATTTAAGTCTATGGGTCGGTCACAAATGTGTGGCATAAACAGGAACATTGAGGTTAAGTTAACTTCTGGATCTGATCATGTAAAATGTGTGTTTGTGTATTTAGTGAAAGTGACTCAAGAGATGGAAGATGGTTGCTTCCTGTCTCAGACAGTGCACTCTTTCAGGCTAATGTGATTTCAGTAATGGACTGTAGTGCTACAAATACACACACAGCTACACACACGTATAGACACACACTTTACTCTCTGATTTTAGGGTGGGGCCATTTTGATTACATACTTGTAGGAAATCCGGAGTTTTTGTATTTGGAGCTTTGACAAATCTAAAGGGACATGATTAAGTGGACATATTGTGCCGGGGGAATCTGAATACTAATATTATTCAGTGGAAGTGTTCCTCAAATACACAAAGAGAGCATATTCGTTATAGATCTCTGACGTTTTATTTGACTTTGACATGTGTATGTGTGTCTGTTTACTTTTTCCTTTATATTCTCCAAGAGTGCATCATAAGACTTTTTCGGAGACTAAACTGGCAAAAGAAGTCAAACGTAAAACTAATGCTAACTAACTTTGAACACAAATCTACCTCAACTGAGATATGTATCCACATGTGTGAAGATCTTGCATACCACTGCACATACGTATAGGCTGAACCTCGATAGTGCTTACGTCTTTTGGCAGCTAAAATGTTAAATGGTCAAACAAAAAATTGCAGTATATTTTCCCTATACTCTTTGTTTTTGTACTGAAACGTAAACGTTTCACAGAGCTACAATTTAGGACACATCGGAGTAAATGTGTTCCTTTTAAAGCAGGAAGTAGTTTTGGTAAGTTGAGGGTTCACTGTTTATAGGTAGCACACTGCAAGATTCACCATGGGGTCCCATGTTTAGCAGCAGGGGCTCCAATTTGGCCCCATTGATTGATCACAAGTAGCAATGTTGATGAAAGATCATGTTCTCAGCACCTGTCAGTTAACTGCTGCTGGTTTGTCTGTCTGGGTTTTTTTCCCTTTCATCTACACTCTCCCCTTGCCCAAGAGTGGAACTTGGCTTTAGCAGTGACTTAACCAAAGGTAGAATTGGACATTGTAAGACAAAAGAAGACACATCGTTTTTTTCAAAATTGCATTTCCATTGTTTTGAAAACAACAACATTTAATTCAGCTTTATTGTATAGTACATTTGGCAAATATCTATACTAAATATCTCACAAAATCGTCAAAACAGTATAAATCACTAGATGCCAATAGAGGTTAAGTAGAAAACTATCTTTTTTTCTATGATTTGGGGGAATTGATTGTGTAAGCTAGATGAGGCTCTGTGACAGAGTTTGGAAAACACAAGAGATAGATAATGGAAACTGTAAATGCATTATACCTGATAAAAAACATAATGTTGAGTTAGAGCTCAGAACAACCATAAGGTATGTGAGGCAAAAAGGGAAAATGACAAAGGAATTGTGTGATGGCTGGCTGTTACTTGGGGGTCTAAAAATACTTCCTGTCTCTATCGTGATTGTCCTGGAGAATAATAGTTTCTCCGAGCCAAGTGGCTGTGTGTCCATGTCTGTGTGCTCACTGATCCTGTGTCACTGAGCATTCACATTTATGCTCTGGGCTGGGGCTGAGCGATTGCACCCTGCAGCCTACTTTCTTCTTTATCTAAACAATAAAACATTGCGTCACTATTTGTCAACCCTCTCCCTGTGCCAGTCCACTTGCCTGTGATTGAATAGTGGATACTAAGAGAGCTCAGTTTTCAGAGATAAATTTAGGACTGGATTGTATGTCCAATGCAGTCGGATATTGATGACTGAAATCTTTGAACCCCCATTCTTAATTTCAGACATGCTGGCCACGTTTCGATCTAAGCTCTTAGAGATTGAGCAGTAAGAGTTTCCTGAAACAAATGTCTGTATCTTTAAATGGTCTTGGTCTGGTCATATATCAAGAGCAGAGCTTGGAGGAGAATTTGTTCCTTTCCCTTGTAAACCCATCTGGAGGCATTGGCTTATTTGGTTTTACTTCTGTAACTTTAATAACATAACAAACTTATTTTAAGCCACATTTTTAAGACAAGGTTTATGAATGACTTGTAACAAGGCAATTTGACCTGTTTCATACCCAGCTTGGTGGGCGCATTCCTTTTAAGTTAAATGTAATGTATCCCATATCCTACTCCAGAGCCTTAATTTCTCTCACTCTCGGAAAATGGGTTTTACAATGACTTTTTACCTTATCTTCTTGGCTGTCATTCATATTTATCTCTCATTTCCATCCAAAACACCTCCCAGACTTTACACTGTTGTTCGCGGACTCCTTCCCACCACTGGTCCCTACACTTAGATCCTGATCTGCCAGGAGGTCAGATTTCACTGCAGCCTTTGACATTTCATCTCTCTACTGCCTCTCTATCTGTGTCTCATCTGCCTCTCTGTGTTTGTCTGCCTATCTCTCTCTCTCTCTCTCGTTTTCCACTGGGAGTGGTATGATGGGATTCTGCAGGAAGGGAGTCCTAATGGAGCCATGGCCTTCATTACATTACCTCTGAACAGTCACACACGCATGCACGCACACACACACACACACACACACACACACACACACACACACACACACACACACACACACACACACACACACACACACACACACCCTTAGCGTTCTCCTTTTGCATGACTGATTGCAATTGAGGTCTCTGTGGGTGCAGTTATACAGGATGTACATACATGTAAAAACCACTAGACACACCCACACATACTGTACAGCTTTACAAACCTGTGAATGACGGCAAGGATCAACCTCTCCAGTACCTCCAGCAACGTTTACTAAATGCCATTAGTGAATGATTGTCTCCTGTTAAATACTTGCTTGGTACTGCTTTGTTGTGTCCTGTATTTAGGCAAAATATGTATGTCGAGCACACTTTCCAACTCCTAATAAACAAGCAACATCATCAATAGAAACTTGTTGTTATTCAGAGACATGCCACAATGTCGAAATAATTACTCTTGACAGAGCAAAACCCACTACATTTGAGTTTGTTTTGAAATATAGGTAATATTTGAATGGGATGTTAAAGGCTGCCAAGTTCTTGGTATATTCTGTAAATAACACATTTTCTGTTAATCAACTAATCATTTCAGCAATGTTATTCTCGCTAAACCTGGCCTACCGCAGTGTACAAAATTACCCTGAAAGAAAAAGACACAGATAATGTAAATGCAATTTGTAGATTAACCTCACAGTGACGATACAGTATTTGGCATTAAACTCCAAATATCAAGGAGCCACTTAGTTGAAGGCCTCTGATACAATATAAAAGCAACAAGTCATATGATGTTCGCAATGGGTTTTGTATGAGTTACTATGCTGTGTAATGGTGATAGTGTTGTGAAAAAGGCATTGGTATTCCTGTCGCGGATCCAAGATCCATACGGATCATCAGCATGTCTATATTTGGGTACAAACAGTGTCCTGACACTGTATCCTGGACTGTCCAGTCATGCTACCTCATAACAAATTGGGCGGCCAAGACATATCTTTCACCATCTCCCTCGCTGATCCTATTTCAACATGATGGATGGATGAAAAGGGTGGATATAGCCACACCGCACTTGATGAATCATAATTTGTAATAGTAATCAGTGTTAGCACCATCGTCATTCTTTTCTTGTTAAGGTGAAGGCCTGTTCATCAAAAAAATAAGACATAGTCGAAAAGTGACAAACACATCTTATAAGAAGAAACTGAGAGAGAACTGCATTAACTGGCCACAGCTTCAGGACAAAAGGAATACAATACATTATTGAAATGAATCATCAGGAAAGGAAGGGTGTTGTTGGATTTTGCATTAAGATACTTCCTTTGCCATTCATGCTGTAGGGAGGGCAGGTGTTTTTGGACTGGGGGCAGTGGGAGGCATTTAGACGTTAATTATTCATTATGGCCTTATGACTCTGTTTCCAGTCAGAAAGAGGGAGAGAAGAGGGCGGGGGTTGGTAATCAATGGACTTCTCAGAAGCTCCGCTCAAACCTCTTCATGTAAATGTGCTCTCTCTCAGGTCCTTGGGATCCTTCCTCCTCTCCTCCCTCTCTATCTCCTCTGCCTCTCACTATGTTTGAGTTGAGTAAGTGAAGGTTTTTCTCAAAGGAAAACACATCAAAGCTTTTCACTGTGTTGTTGAGAATAGACACACAGAGAC